TTTTTTTTTTTTTGTGGTACTGGGGCTTGAACTCAGGGCTTATACCTTGTATCATATTCATCAGCCCCTTTTCTTGTGAAGGGGTTTTTCGAGATGGGGTCTCATGAACTATTTGCCTGGGCCGGCTTCGAACCACTATCCTTCTGATCTCTGCTCATGAGTAGCTAGGATTACAGGCGTGGCCCAGCTTTTAATATGTGTTGTATATGATTAGTGAAGGCATGTTAGAAATCATGAGCTTGTTCTGAAAATCTGTTTGTGTTAGTTTCACCTTTTTTTGTTTGTTTCATTTTAGAATCAAGATTTGTTTGCTACATCACAAAGTAAAGAATTTGATCCCCTTGGTCCTCTGCCACCTGGATGGGGTAAGTCACATGAGATTTTCATTAAATTCTGTAAGGTGATGTAGCTTAGTGGTATAAAGTGCCTGTCTAGCATGCACAAGGCCCTGGGTTCAATCCCCAGCACTGCCAATAAATAAATGGAGGGAAGGAATGGTAGAGAGAGTGAATGAGAGAATGAGAGTGATTTATGGATGATACTTTACTCTTGTTTAAGTAGATAACTGGGAATTCTTTTTAGGTATATCAGTTAAATCAGAATATGAGGTAGGTATTAAAATTCTAAGCTGAGGCATTAAATTAAGTTTTATTGGAATTTAGTATTTTCCTCTTATAAAGTTTAAAATACTGATTACTCAGCAATGAAAAAGGGAATGGATTATTGATATAGCAATCTGGATGGACCCTAAGGACATTGCGCTTAGCAAAGAAAGTCACGATTTCACAAGATTAATTATATATTACATTATTCCAGTTTCTGTTACTATAAATACCTGAGGTTAAGGTGTTTTATAAGCTAAAGAAGTTTATTTAGTGCACTCCCCAATGACTTAATGATTTAAAGGTACACCTCTTCCAGTATCACCATACTGAGGACCAAGCTGGTAACACAAGAACCCTTGGAAGACACACTGAAAGTATAGCAATACTGTATGATTCAATTCATATAGCATTCTTAAAATGACAAAACTAGAGATGGATAATAGGTTAGCAGTTGTTAGTGGGCAGGGGAGGTGGGAGGTAGATGAAAAACAAGAAGTGGCATAAGGGGGTTCTTAGGTGGTAATGGAAAAATTCTGTATTTTGAGGGTAGTAGTGATTACGTGAATCTGTACTTGGGATCAAAATGTATAGAATTATGTATGTATCCACATTAATTTAGCTTTCAAAGATGGTGAACATTGAACAGTCTGCCACTAACAGTAATGTATCAATGTTAGCTTCTTTGTTTTGGTGCTGTACTACTAAGATGTCACCATTGCAAAAACTGGTTAAAGACTATGTTGAGACTGTATAATTTCTACAGCATCCTATAAGTAATAATTGTTTCAAAATAAAAAAATCTTTTAAAATGTCATCATGCTGGTTCTTCTAGAGCACAGTTCAGAATTTGATTGTGTTGGCATTATCTTAAAGAACAGTGAATTGGCATTATCTTAAAGGAGAAGCTGTAAGGGGTGGCGTGTGGCGACTTTGTGTCCTACATCATGGAGCATACTCATGTTGCTAAGTATGCTCTGTTATTAAGTATATTTAACACTTTAGTTATTAAAATTTTGTTAACAGACTTTAAGATGGGGTATCCTATCAGGTTTCATTTTGTAACATCATATTAATGTAGTAGGATTACAGAATAAAGATAGCTATATAGAAACAATTTTGAATAAAAGCCAAAGAGAGCATAGGAAAGGGAAAACAGATAAGAAAAGACAGTTACAGAAGCAAGGGCTTCAGATACTTTATAATATTATGATTAATTCTGATGTTTCAGGTGATATTTCCAGATACTCTTATTGGGAAATACTGGTCATAAAATAAGTAACGAAAATTTTGATTTATCAAGATCATATGAATCTAGGCAATAAATAAGACTGGTTGTATAATTCTTTTATGAGAACTCCCATTGTTCTTACATTATTTACCTTCCAAACACTTCTGTGGGTCAAAAAGGTAAATAATGTATTAGGTAGTACTTAGAACTGTTTTCGTTCCTGTCTTATAACAAAGGAAGTACATTTCAAAGTTGTTCCTGTTTTCACCAAAGCTTCGTGTCTTAGAGTGTCCAATATGTGTTGATATGACTATCTTTAGAAGAGGGGATGTTACCTTTAAGAGACCTATTGAACCTGACCTGTCAGATTGCATTCCTAGACACAGATACTTTGCAAGCTTTATTTCTAGAGTTGTTTTATGTCTGTGTTACAGAATAACAAATTGGTGCACTAAAAGGGCATATCTGAAGGTCATTTGTCACACCCCGCCACTATAAATTTAATGCAGAAAAGCCATAACCTGCTTCGTGGTGTGATGGTCAGAAACAGACTCTTTATTTTTACTCATCCTCTGGAGCAGCTGTAGGAAAATTGCCCCTTGCTCACAGAAGTCTGAATTATACACTGTTGCCTTTATAGAAAAGTTTTCCTGCAAGTTGGTCCTTGCCTTTCATATTTATCATTATCCTAATATTTTTCAGTTTTACATCAGCCAACAATAGTTTTTTTTACTTACTGCCTCCGAATACCCAGGTTATTTAGGTAATTAGCTTCTTGCCTTGCAAGAAGGGTTCACACTAATTGAAAGGTGAAGTGCTGACCCCTTCCTAAATGTTCATGATTGTCCTGCTTCTCAGGTTGAGCATTGCTTTATGACTCACTGTCTCTAGCAGGTATTTTTTATTTGTAGAACCACTGGTTCTTGTATCAGATGAGGAGTTACAACCAACTTACTTTCCATGTTGTCTCAGGAAATAGAATCTCAGCTTATAGTCTATAAGCTCACAGTTTCCATTCTGAGATTGATAGCATTATTTTTCTTACAGTATGTAAACTTAAATCCAACTTTGTTGCCCTCTCAAACTTTCATGTGCTCAAGGTACTGGACATTACCACCTTAACAAGCTGACAGTGAAGAATTTTTAGCACATGCACAGTATAGAGGCTAGAGAAGAAAGAATGCTTTTGGTTCAGAAATATAGTCTTCTAGGGCTTTGTATAGCTGGCTTTACCCATCAATTATTATATATTTTCTCATTTTCAGAACTGTTAGGAAAGAGTACATAATACAGCAATAAGCTCTTTTTTATTGTTTTATTCATTAAGTCAGGAAATGCTCTGATGTGCATTTGGGTTTTATGGTCAAAAAGTTCAGTATTATTTATATAATTTTTTTTCTGTCAAAGTAAGAAATCAGCTCTGTAACCACACTACTTCCTCTCATTAAGTAGATCAGCCTTCAGTTTGCAAGTTTGTCTACCCTTTGAAATTATGCTTTTTACAGCCTTTCCCAAGAAATGTAGACTATAATTAGAACATACATGGGAACAAGTTTGCTGTTGACTTTACCTTGCCTTATGTTTTTTTGTGAAGGGAAAAATCTCTGGCCTTGAAGTCTGAATTTACAGAGTAGATAAAATATGAATGTGCTCAGTTATGTTCAGTATTATTTGAGGGGGGCTACAGGTATAGCTCATTTGTAGAGTACTGACCCTGGGTTCAGTCCTTGGTACCACACACAAAAAAAGAATTTCATATATACGCACATATATAAGTTAACATGTAAACTTTATATATATAAATTTATTTGGATATGTTTTTAAACAAAGTAATTCTAGGTTTTGTAAGTAAATTAAAAATTTTAAATTTAATGTGACTACCAAGACATGAACTTACATTGCCATAAAGTAACAAGTGTAAGCTATAGCACTAGCACTCTGGGTGCCTTTTTTTTTTTTTAGCTTGAGATGTCAGGAATAGATTCATGTTACTTATTCACTAGTATATCCATTGTAACTCAACATCACTGCTACTTGAAATCCTGCAAACTGTGGTAGAAATATAATTATTGCCAATTTGTTTTTATATACTAGTAGACAAGGTATAATTTGGATAATCCTGTAATATCCTGCTTAAAGAAATATATAGGAGGGGAGGGGGGAGAAAAAAGAAATATAAAAAGGATTTAAATATGTATTATTTGAGAAATGAGTATCAGTTTTTCATAGAACATGAAAGTTAGCTTTGTCAACATGGCATTAAGTTTAAATTTTTGTTTAATAATTATTCATTCTTAAGAACCATGTTTTTTTTTTTTCATTTTTCTTTTATTATTCATATGTACATACAAGGCTTGGTTCATTTCTCCCCCCTGCCCCCACCCCCTCCCAAGAACCATGTTTTTTAAGGTTTTGTTTTTTTTTTTTTTGGCGGCACTAAGAGAACCATGCTTTTTAGAAAGTTTGAATTCATTCCAACTTTATATAGTACATCAACTATATATTTGGAAACAT